AGAGAGAGAGAGAGAGAGAGAGAGAGAGAGAGAGAGAGAGACAAAGAAGAAGTGTGTATGTATATGATGGAACGATTTGTTCGTAGGCTGATTGTGCATACAGTACTCCATTTAACATTGCAAATAAGAGGAGCATAATTATCTTTAACACATTGAATATCACGTCATAACGTTTTAATACACTAAAAAAATTTGAAAACTTATTTGTGGGACATAAAATTTATTTCTGTAAAATAAAGTTTATTTCTGCAAAATAAATTTTTATCCCGTGAATAAATTGTCGCTTATTTTTCTAATTAATTGGACTTTGGTGCACGTCATACCTATCGGAAAAAAATACCCGAAAGTTTATTTGTATGATATAAAATCTATTTCTGCAAATAAATTTCACATAAATAAATTTTCAAGTATTTTTTTTCTCAGTGCATACATTGAGAGAAGATATTTGAAAATTTATCTATGGAATATAAAGTTTACTTCTGTGAATAAACTCTCCATATTCCACAAATAAATCTTGAAATATTTTTTTTCTCAGTGCATATAGTATATTTTATATATATTTTATCTCAGAGGGGCTGAACATCACAAATGAAAAAAAATTGACACAAAATGATAAAATAATTGACACAAAATGATATTTAGAAGCAAAAGTGGTAACAATTCACATTGCCCCAGGAAAAATTTTAGGCCTGTATTTATTATTGTTATTATTGAACGTAAAATTACTTGAAATTTGTTTCAGGTGAGATGTGCAGGTTAGGATTTGAGCCCGTATTAATAACTAGTTGTCACCTGAAATTGTCTCATGTGAGATACTCAGATTTTTATTCAGAAGTAGATTCAAGTTTTTCACTTGAATATTATAAAATATATGACACTTATATCTGTAAACGCGATTTACAACTGAAAAAACTTTCATCTAATTCTGAATTCAAATCCGAGTATCCTCCTTGAGACGAGTTTCACGATAATTATTAATACGGCTGTTTGGCATGTGATATTTTCATGAAAAACAGCATTATTTATAAGCGATGTTACGTAAAAGAAGATAATGGTTCTTCTTGCGAAGGGTTCGCAGAAATCATGATTTATCTCTCGCAATTTCGTCACCGCACTATTTTGTCCCTTCCCCGAGCACACCCGGAGAGAGAGGAGGAAACGAGAAAATGGGGAGGATGCTTCCGAGTGTATTCAGAGCGAAATAAACCCCGGGGCGATTCCCTCTCCTTTCTCTCTCCGCATGCCCGATATGTAAAAAGGACAGATTCGTATCCCCGAATGTGAAATCGCGTGAACGAAGGAAAAAGTCTTGCGCCTTCCCGTCCCGGTCTTCTTATCTCCTGATATCTTTTGCCATTCACGCTCAACGTGCCGTGCCTCTTTTTTTCTCGGAGAGAAGAAGAAACAGGTATCTCTCACGCATAATTACTTTGGCATAACGAACCGTGCACCGGCTTCGTCCTTCTTCTTAAAGAACCGGTGAATTTCAACTCTCCTTGTGATTCGCATTTAATAATTCTCTCGTTACCCGATATTATAGTAAAAAGAAGAATTCAACTTTCACACAAACGTGTACGGAGACAGAGAACTTCGCAGTCTGACGGTTTAGATACTACGATTGTGTGTACATATTTATCGTGATTTAAATTTTCTGCGCGAGATGAAAATTATTTAATTTACTCGCTTTGATACTTTGCAGTTCTGTGTTGAGTTCTAGATTTGTTCTAGTCTCTAGACATATAATATGATAAATAATATATATGTGGTCTGAAAAGTTTCCGACCTAACAAAGATACAAGTCATTTTTTCTGAAAATTGTTTTTTATTTTTCAACATAGTCTCCTTGTAAATCTACACACTTCTCCCAGCGATGCTCCCATCTCTGTAACCCGTCGAAATAGTACTCGGCGTTTTTCTCTGCAAAATAATTGTTCACGAAGGTGATTGCCTCTTCATTTGACGAAAATCTCTGTCCTCCGAGCGCAATTTTTAGATGAGGGAACAAAAAGAAGTCGCTTGGGGCTAGATCTGGTGAGTAAGGTGGATGGTCAAGCAGTTCAAACCGTAATTCGTGG